AAAAAAAAAAAAAAAAACAGAAAAAACTCTTCTCCAAAAGTCCTCCTTTGATCACCATAACAGAATATATCAACACATCTTGAAACATAATTAGAGTGCCTTAAAGTGCGAAAGAATTGGCAAACAGGTTTATTTAGACCAAATGTAACTGTATCACACATCAGGTAGTCAATTTATGAAACTTCCTTACCCTATAACATAGTCTGGGTGAAAATACCATTAGACATAAGAAGGGTTTAGATTAACCCATGGATAGCAGCTCTGTAACAAGGGAAGAGAAAAAGCAATGTCTTGGGAACTGGCTTCTAACCTTCCTGTGTGAAGCCAAGAAAAGCAAAACGCATTACTATAAAAAGGCTATTGTTGCCACTGTCAAGCAACCCAGAGCACTGGACTAATGTGATAAGGAGTCGTATCCTGTGTGGTAATCTTTTAAAATCAACTTTTCAGTCTTTTTCTTCACCAGTTAAATAACCCTCTGCGATTTTCCCCTTTCCACACATCCTATTATCTAAGTGGAATAGGTCGTCTGCTTTTCATTTCCATGTCTTGCTTTCCTAATTCTTGTTAGCTGTCTCATACAGATATCCACATTCAAGCCTGCTATCCTTATGCTGCTTAAGAGATGCCTGAATTTAACATCCAAACGCCTCATACAATCTCCCCCAGTCAATCCTGAGAAAATCCTCTCTAAATTCCCATCTGATCACTGCCCAGTGATGGCAGCAGCAGCCCTCAGAAGCCCAAACTCACATGGTACTTTCGTGCTGCCGCCGGGGAGTGACAAAGAGCATGCGGGTGGGGCGGGCACTACTGGCATCTGGGTGGGCACTCCAAGGCTTGGCATAGCTATGATCCAGAAAAACCAGGTCCAGCTCCCGTTCGTGCACTGAAAGCTGGAAGAGCAGCGAGGTGCCCATGCGTCGAGCTGAAGTCTGGAAGTCCCTCTCCCCACCCCGGTGGGCCATGTCAGTGGAGGGGCAGAAAGTCAGAGCAAGGGTATCTGCATGCTAGTCACCTGCAGTGAGAAGTTTCAGTTTAGGTCAATTCCAATATTCTGAATTTCTCCCAATCTACACCATCGAACATGCTTACTTTTGTAACCTACTATCATTCCTGTTGAGTATCCATTTCACAGCAGACCTCTGGTGGGGAGGGTTCGTGGAATCCCACACCAACACCAAAAAAAAAGGAAAAAAAAAAAAAGAAAAACGAGGTGCCATGAGTTGTCCCATACTCAACCTCTAGCGAACTGAAATTCGCTAACGGGAGAGCTCACCGACCCCGAGGTTCAGAAAGACCTGGCGTGGACAGACACTACACCTGCTTGGCCAGCACAACTTCCTAGGTGGGCAGGAAGAGTTCTGGCAAACGGGAAATCACAAACGTGAGTTTGTCGAAAGCTAAGGTTCTCTGTCGCTTCACATCATCCTCTACCGACGATGCCAACCGAGCCCGGTCCGCAGCAGGAGCGTGGGCACCGCTAAAGGGCAGGGCAACGCGGGCCTCAAAAAAGCGAATCCCAGCTAGGGCTCCATGTCCTTCGAGTCCCTCGTACCGCGTGAAACAAAAGTTCTGTCGGTACTTCGTAATATTCCAGAGTTTATATGAAAAGGAGAGCTCCCCCCACAAAGCCTGTGACAAAATGGTCCCCGTGGAAGCCCTTTCGCCCGCACCCCCGGCGAGGCGTCCCCAGCAAACCGCCCCGGACCCCGGCGGCCCCGCAGGCGTTCCTGCCACTGAGCCTCCATCGAGGAGACAGGGCCATGACTCGCATTTTACAGACGAGGTCGCCAGCTCGGGGAACTGAAGCGACTTGGCCAAGGTCATGCAGAGTTCGCGACGAGGAGGAGCCTCCTGGCCCCCGCCCGCCGCCCGCCGCCGCCCGCCGCCGCCCGCCGCCTCCCGCCTCCCGCTCCCTGGGGCACGGCTCGGCGTCCGCGTCACCGAGGCCCAGACGCGGCCCCCGCCCGCCCCCGGCCCAACCCGCCCGACCAGCCCCGGCAGCCGGCCCTAGCCCGGGCCCCCGCACGCCCCGAGAGCCCTGAAGCCCTCGCCGAGACCCCCGGCCGTCCCAACCAGGGCCGCGAACCCCACGGCCCGCCACTCCCCTCGAAGCCAACGCAGCTCTCACCCGCGCTCTTACGGCCGCGCGCTCGGCCCGGGCCAGATCCCTCAGCGCGTGCGCGTCAACGCCTCCACGCCCCGGCGCTGCGGGCACCGAGTAAAACGCGGAAGCGGCTCACGGCCTGGGAAGGGAGAGGCGGTGAGCGGCAAAGCCCGGAACGGATGAAGCCCCGGCGCCTCAGTCCGGAAGAGGAGCGCCGAGAGCGCGAGAGCGTGTCGGAAGCAGAAAGTCAGCACCTGGGCTGGAGTGTCCCCCTCGCGCATTTTCAGCAGGGAAAGCGAGGGCGGAGGACGAGGCTGGCTTCTACGGCCCCAGTTCTCGCCACCCCCATCGTGTTGGTCCTTTGTGCCCTCTGGGCGGTCGAGCACCCAACTGTCCACCTCCACCAGGGCAGTCCCCTGAATTTCCTCATTAAGAATGTACCTGTGTGGCTCACGCCTGTAATCCCAGCGCTTTGGGAGGCCTAGGCGGGAGGATCTCTTGAGCTCAGGAATTTGAGATGAGCCTGGCCAATATGATGAGACCTCTGTATCTACAAAAAATTTTAGAAATTAGGCATGTGTGATAGTGATGTATGCCTGTAGTCCCAGCTACTCGGGAGGCTGAGGTGGGAGGATCACTTGAGTCTAGGAGGTCCAGGCTGCCATGAGCCATGGTCGCGCCACGGAACTCCAGCCTGGACGACGGAGTGAGACCATGTCTCAAAAAAAAAAATAGAATTTTGTTACTGACCCTAGATCGCTTTGTGTGGTTAACTTTCCTATGTGTTTTTGTGTAGAGACAGTAGATCCTCAAAGTCAGGGAAATTAACCTTTGTATCCTCCAGAGAACATAGAGCCCAGGACATAGGTAATTGTTCAAATGATGACTGATCAATAATTGGTTATTTGGTTGACTGACTGAGAGAGCAAGAGTCATGGTTCAAGATGGTAAATCTCACCCGGGAGCTGTGGCTCATGCCTATCATCCCAGCACGTTGGGAGGCCCAGGTGGGAGGATCGCTTGAGACCAAGAGTTCAAGACCAGCCTGCACAGAACAGTCAGACTTCATTTCTATTTTTTTAAAAAAATTAATTAATTAAATTTTTAAAAATGGCCAGGTGTGGTGGCTCACACCTGTAATCCCAGCACTTTGGGAGGCTGAGGCGGATGGATCACAAGTTCAGGAGTTCAAGACCAGCCTGGCCAAAATGGCGAAACCCTGTCTCTACTAAAAATGCAAAAATTAGCCACGTGTGGTGGCCCATGCCTGTAATCCCAGCTACTCGGGAGGCTGAGGTAGGAGAATCACTTAAACCCGGGAGGCAGAGATCGGTGAGCCGAGATCGCCGAGCCGAGATTCATTCTTTGCCAATTTAAGAGGTGATAAATGGTATCTTATCCCGTTTCTTGGCTTATTAATGAGTTTGATTTTTTGTTTTGTTTTGTTTTGTTGTTGTTGTTGTTGAGACGGGGTCTCTCTCTGTCGGCCAGGCTGGAGTGCAGTGGCGTGATCTCGGCTCACTGCAACCTCCGCCTCCAGGGTTCAAGCGATTCTCCTGCCTCAGCCTCCCGAGTAGCTGAGACTACAGGCGTGTGCCACCACGCCCGGATAATTTTTTTGTATTTTTAGGAGAGACGGGGTTTCACTGTGTTAGCCAGGATGGTCTCCATCTCCTGACCTCGTGATCCACCCACCTCGGCCTCCTAAAGTGCTGGGATTACAGGCGTGAGCCACTGCTCCCAGCTTTTAGATATTCATTAGTTTTCCTTCTAACTATTAAATAAGATGTAATTTATACAACGTTCAACCCTAAAACCTAAAAAACCTTGCTGTGGAGAATAACAGTAAATGCCCCAGCTCCACCTTAATGCTCAGAGGCTCTGACAGCCATAAAGACAGCCACTTCAAAACTGCATGGGCTTCTTCGACCTTCCATAGGAGCTCATTCATTCAAAAGCTAATTTCCTTTTGTCAAAGAGGGTCTCATATGTAAACTTAGGTTTTTCTAGGGCGGTGTCATGTATCCCACTTGGAGCCGAGCGGGTGATCACAAGGTAGGAGAGACCAGTGAACCCGTCCTACTAAAATACAAAATTACGGGCGGGGGGGGCCGTAGTCAGTACTCAGGGCTGAGCAGGAGAATGGCGTGACCAGGAGGAGCTGCAGTGAGCGGATCCCTCAGCTGAAAAAAAAAAAAAAAAAAAAAAAAAAAAAAAAAAAAGAAATAGTCCTTGATTTTCCTATCCCTTTTCTCAGGTCGCTTCACTGTTTTCTTATTTTCTCATCTAAATTGTGTGACTTTGGCAATGATTCACTCCAGACAACTTGCTTGTACAAGGAGAAAACATCAACCTTACGTCTGACCTTGAAATCAAAAGGACAGCAAGGAGGGCAGGTGTGGGGTGGGAAAAAAAAAAAAAAAAGGCCAGACTTGGTGGCTCACGCCTGTAATCCCAGCAGTATGGGAGGCCGGGGCGGGCAGATCACCTGAGTTCGAGAATTCCAGACCAACCTGACCAACATAGAGAAACCCCATCTCTACTAAAATTACAAAATTAGCTGGGTGTGGTGGCGCATGCGTGTAATCCCAGCCACTCGGGAGGCTGAGGCAGGAGAATCGCTTGAACTCGGGAGGAAGAGGTTGTGGTGAGCTGAAATCGCACCATTGCACTCCAGCATGGGCAACAAGAGCAAGACTCCATCTCAAAAAAAAAAAAGCAGAATAGGAGAAAAGAGAAAAGAGGAGGTGAAAGCAGCCAGATGATTTTGTTTCTACAGGCCCAGTCACCTATACTGGGTGACACCCATACTGTTCCTCTTCCCCCCTCTTTCCCATTAATTCCTCACCAGAACCGAGAACCGCCCACCTTTGTGACATCCTCTCTGTTGCCAAGCAACAGACAGGAAGTGGGGCTCCACTCACCCCAGGATCCCTGGGAAGAGCCTCGGACTGAGGAGCTCCAAAAAGGAAGCTGTGGCACTGCGGAGGGAACGAGGGAAGAGAGTAGGTCTCCGAGATGCTGCGGCTTGTTGTGCAGTCGGCCAAGATTGACCCACCGCTAGCTCCACTACCCAGGCCCTGCATGTCCATCGACTTCAGAGGTGAGAGCCTCCTTGAGTCCACATGGGAGAGAGAAGCCCCCAGAGGCAACATGCATTCAGTGAAAAAAGAGGTGTAGGGCACCGTACTACGTAAAAGATGCCCTGTATAACACAAAGTGAAGTAGACATTGCCCAGCTCTCTCAAAACTTATTGCTGTCGTTTGATTATGACTTCTCTGCCTCCTACTTTTGCTAGGGAATGGATATGGAAAAAAGAGAGGACGAGTGCTTCTGGACCTTCTTCCATGACCTAGAGCTGCGCCGTAAACTAAGGTTTAAAGAGAAAGTCCCTGCTTCCTCAGATTGATATGGGGGTTTAAAAAGATAATATGTGTATAGCCCTTAGTATAACTTCTAGTAATAACTGCTTGATCATATTAGTTCCGTTTGCATGAGCTTTACAACTGACAAAGCGTTTTTTTTTTTTGTTTTTTTTTTGAGACAGACTGTCACTCTGTTACCCAGGCTAGAGTGCAGTGGTGTGATCTTGGCTCACTGCAACCTCTGCCTCCCAGGTTCAAGCAATTCCCCTGCCTCAGCCTCCGAAGTAGCTGGGACTACAAGCGCATGCCACCACACCCGGCTAATTATTGTCATTTTAGTGGACACGGGGTTTCACCATATTGGTCAGGCTGGTCTCGAACTCCTGACCTCAGGGATCCACCCACCTGGGCCTCCCAAAGTGCTGAGATTACAGGTGTGAGCCATGGCACCCAGCTGACAAAGCCTTTTCATATGTACAATGATGTCTGCTGCTCACAGCAATTCCAGAGGTAGATGAAGCAAATTTTATCATCTCCATTTTTTTTTTGTAGATGAAGCAAGTTTTACTATCTCCATTTTTTTTTTTTTTTTTTTTTAGTTAAGAGAATAGAACCCCAAGAAGGAAGGGAAAGAAAAGGATGAAAGAATTTGTGAGAGAAAATGAGAGAGATGTTAGGTATATTTAGATATCAAAGATCTGGCAGCTAAAAGGAAAGAAAAGAATAAAGGGTGAAAGGATGGGGCATGGTGGCTCACGGTTGTAATCCCAGCACTTTGGGAGGCTGAGGTGGGCAGATCACTGGAGGTCAGGAGTTCGAGACAAGCCTGGTCAACACAGTGAAACCCCGTCTCTATTAAAATATAAAAACTAGCTGGGCGTGGTGGCAGGTGCCTGTAATCCCAGCTACTTGAGAGACTGAGGCGGAAGAATCGCTTGAACCTGGGAGGCGGAGGTTGCAGTGAGCCAAGATCACACCACTGCACTCCAGCCTGGCCAACAGATCAAGAAGTGCCATCTCGAAAGAAAGAAAGAAAAACGAAAAAAGGGTGAAAGTATGTAGGTGGAGATACAGGACGGTGGATACAGGCAAATAGGTTTTACGGGGACAGTTGGTAGGGAGAAAACCCAGACCAAGAGAAAAGAGGACACAGTAGTTCCTACAGGAGATGTGAGTGAAGAATGAAATTTCTTTATTTTATGTTATGCTGTTGTTCTGTGAAACTAGGCTTGTTGAACACAGCAATATTCAGAGATTGAACATTTGGGACTCTGGGCTCACAGGGTCATACATGCTGATGTCCTCAGTCTGCAGGTTTCAAGAGGGGCGGTGCGAGTTCAGGATGAATTTGCCCTGCTTGACTAATTCTCCAGTTAGCCAGGCGAGGGGTTGCCAGTTCTTCTCTGATTCTGAGCCATCTTCCCCACCAACTCATGGGCACCATCTTTCTCATTCCAGCAATATCTCTCACAAAGATGCCTAAAACTCAGAACCCTGGGTTCACCCACAGATTCTTCTGATTGTATGTTTATGTTTGACACTTTGTACTCCTTTTGTCCTTCTCAGCCTCTTCCTTCATATGCTGTCCACTAACCTGCTCCCCTTCCCACTGCTTGGAGGGCCTTTTACCCATTATGGATGTTTCAGGATGTCTTCGTTAGGGTACACTGGGCTTTGCTCTGGCAATAAATAAAACCTTAATTTTCAGTGGGTTAAAGATGAAAGTTTACCTCTTGCTTACACCAAGTCCTGCATGGATGGTGCTGGTCAGACAGCTCTCCTGGGTAGCTCCTACAAATGGTAGTTTAGGGACTAGCCACGTGCTCCTTGTGGCTGCAAAGTTAGCAGGTCACGAGGGTGGCTATAGGGAGAGGAGAGAGGAGAATGAAGAATCTCATGGAAATTGAGAACCAGACCTGGCAGTGGCAAATATCATATCCATACCCCATTGGCCAGAGTGAGTCACACGGCCCCGCTTAGCTGCAAGACACTGAAAACTCCGGAAGAAAATGAAATGGGCCAGGCGCGGCGGCTTTCACCTGTAATCCCAACAATTTGGGAGGCTGAGGCAGGCAGATAGCTTGAGTCCGGGAGTTTGAGACCAGCCTGGGTGACATGGTAAAACCCTGTCTCTACAAAAAATACAAAAATTAGCCGGGTATGGTGGCGTGTAGTCCAGGCTACTTGGGAGGTGGGAGGATGGCTTGAGCCTGGGAGACAGAGGTTGCATTGAGCCCAGATCATGCCACTGTACTCCAGCCTGGGTGACAGAGTAAGACCTCATGTCACACACACACACACACAAAAGTAAAGAAAAAAGAAAAAGAGAAACGAAGAAAGAAAATGAAATGAACATATAGCATTATCTGTCACAGTGATAAAATCAAGAAATGTTGAACCCCCACAAGAAAGAAAGAAGTGATGCCATTTCACACCCGCCAGTGTTGACTTGAAGTTTTCTTAGAGTGTCCTAGTTCTCTTTACTCCACTCCGACCCAGACATTGAAATATTTCCTACCATCAATGCCAGCCCCTTGGTTTCTTTGCAGATGTCAAGAAAAGAACTCGTGTGGTGGAAGGGAATGATCCCGTGTGGAATGAGGTAGACACCAGGGCAAGCCCAGAAGAGTAAATAACAATCCCAACAGCAAGGAGGCAAGGGTGGGGCCCAGGCAGGTGCTCGGAGGTCTAGGGAGAGGACCTGCAGCCTCACAAGTGTTCCTCAAGGCTGGGCATCTTGGCCTGGGAGTAGTAGCCTCTGACCCGACAAGGCTGTGAAGGCCACACCTGCCCACGACTGTTCGTGGACTTCTCCCCCACTCTGAGGATGGACCATGTTATGGCCTATCAACTCGTCCAGCTGGGCCATCTTGACGTTCCTAGAAGCCTGAAGCCGAGTGAAGGCTCCCTTTGCATGACTCCCTCTCATCTGCCATCACTCCATGTTGCCCCTCGCCCCATTCCTAGTCCCCAAACCCTTAATTCTCAGCGTGCCCGCGATACTGCAGTTCAAGTCACAGAAGCCCAGTGGGATGTGCACAGCTTGGTGAAAGGTAGCAAGCGCCATCTCCTGAGGAAGTTAGACATGAGGGAAGTGCACAGCTTGGCGAAAGATAGCAAGTGCCATCTCCTGAGGAAGTTAGACATGAGGGAGGTTCCTCAGTCTCAGAGAAACGCAGTGCTAGCCCGTTCCCCACATCTTTCCTCATTTCCTAGAAACATGGGATGGGAAGGGAAGGGCAGAGGAAGGATGCTGACCTCTCTATGCCCCCCACAGACCCTAATCTGGCACCTCTGGAACCGCCCCCTGGAAAATGACTCCTTCCTGCAAGTCACCCTTCAGGACACGGGCTCACAAAAGGAAGAAAGGTGAGGCAGAGAGAGGCAGGAGGAGGCCTAACTACTGACCAACGCAGCAGCAGGTTATGTGACCCTTGTCTCTAATCCACAACTCATTCACATGAAGGACCGGAACCCACTCCAGCCAGCTAAAGAGAAAAAAGAGGGGTGGGTACTGAAAGGGTAGCCAGGGCAAGATTGCAAATCAGCTGGGACAGGAACTTGGGAACCCAGCAGCAGCTCTGTCCATCTGAAGCCACGTAGCTCAAATTTCTGCTTCTCTCTGCCCAACCCCGGCTTCTTATCACAGCCTCATCTAGAGCCCAGCTGAGACTCACATGCCCTGAGACTGAGGCTATGACATCCCAGGTCAAAATTCCTAGGACATAGAATCCTGTTGTCCCAGCTCTAGCCAGGTGTCCATCCCTGGTCCAATCAACTGTTACTTGCCTAGGAGCCCCAAGACAGTTCCCAGAGCCAGGAGCCCTGTGCCCTGTCGTGGATCCCCAGCCCCACTGCATTCTTCTCCAGCCTCTCTCTGAGGACAGCACAGCCCTGGGAGGAAACCGTCTCTAGCTAAAGCCCTGCCCGGGAGAGAGGAGGACGCCTTTCCCCTGGCTCGGGATCTCACACCTGCTCCTTGTCTCTCCAGCTTCATTGGCCTGGCCACAGTCCTGCTCAAGCCATTGTGGAAACAACCAAGCAAGGTCCTTTTTGTGAAGGATCTGACCCTGCTCAACCATTCCATGAAGCCCACAGATGTGAGTCAGGCCCAGGAAGGCCCAGGCAGGGTGACTGGAGGAATGGGGGCAGCTGGGGAAGCGGCCCACACCACAAGAGGGCTTCCTGCCTGGGGGGCCCCATCACACCGCCTTCCTCTCCTGACCACCCCCCTTGCCATCATCTACCCCCACCACAACCCACCTATTTAGATGAATTGACCACCTTCCGTGGAGAGTCAACCACTGTGCTAGGACCTGTGGTACAAAATTGCCTGAAGCCCATGGTCTGTTGGAGTACGCTGCATTCACAGTGACAGGCGCTCCAGCGCCCATGAGACAAGCTTCAGTAAAGCAAGGCCACTGGCTGAGGTCAGGAAGGAGTGAACGATTTGTCTCAGGAGGTCATGGACAGTTTACAGACGGGGTGATGTTTAAGACATACGGAAATGTAGGAAGAGCACCCAAATGAGAACAAGCAAAGGCTGTTTATTCAGAGCTTGTGCTAGCAAGGGACTCGTTCATCATCATTTGTGTTTTGGTAGAGACTCAGAGGCAGCCAGGGGAGCGGGAGAGCTTCGCAGTGGACAGAAGGGAAGGCTGCAGATGTGCCCTGATGGGAGGCTACGGGGGAGCCCAAGGCAGGCTAGCTAGAAACAGGGCCTCCCATGTGATTGGTTAGAGGGGCATGTTTGGCTCTCTCTGGTTGGTCCTAAGTTGGAAGTGGGGACAAAAATTAAGGCAGCTGCCAGTTATTAATCAAGGCCTGGCCATTTGGAGCTGATCATTATTGCTTGGCTTCCTGGATTATTGCTAGAGACAGTAGTCTGACCTCCTACAAGTCTGACTTGGAGCAGGCTGGCTTCCTGGGCTGGTTACTGTAGATAACAGGTTGGTTTCCCGGGCTGGTTGCTGCAGATGTGGATCTGAGTCTTATTTTATGTGTGGTTTGACCATTGTCCATTTGTATGCAGACAGTCTGTGACTTACAATGGATGGACACACGATATTGTTGACTTACAATGAGTTTATCAGGATGTGATCCCATCGTAAGCCAAGGCGCATTCAGTCTGTCAGTTGAGTTGTAAGCAGAGGCATGAGTTTCCCCAATGGACAGGAGTGGAAGACCAGCCCAGGCAGGGGCATAAAGTGGGTGGAGCAGGAGGCAGGATGAGGGAAGGTGTGCTGCACTGTTGGCACCTGGGGTGGGGGGCACGTGGAGGTGGGAGAACTGAGGTTGTGTGGGCGACCAAGAGCTAGAGGTGAAGGGCCTTGTGGTCCACGCTGGTGAATTGCCATTTAACTTTGATCATTTAGACACTTGGGGTGTTCAGGGGCCATCCTGGTGACAGTCTGGAGGCTGGGTGGGTCATGGGAACACATGAAGAAAGGAGCTCAATTAAAAGGCAGGGGTGTGCAGGGGCCCCACATGAGCTCATGAGATGTTGGGCTCAGGGAAGAACTGCTAGCATCTGTGTTCTGGGCTCAAGTCACCTCTCCCTCTCCTCCCCACTCTCCTGCATCCTTTTCTGCCACCATCACCACCATGTGGCTGCTTTAATCTACAAACATCCTCTCCACTGTAACCCATTGCTCTCTCCTCACCCATTTATAACCTCCCTCCACCCAGACTGTGCAGATGCCTGTGGTGTGGCCCCATCCCATGGCTAGCATCACGGCCCCCACCGGGAGGACCAGGCGTGAACCCAGCCAGACTGTGCAGGGCTTGGGTGCTGTGTCCTAGGATGGCGGGGTCTGGCTTACAGCTCCCCGGCCTTTGTCTTGCAGTGTACTGTCACCCTACAGGTGGCCCACATGAGCCACCGGGATATTGAGAAGACAGGTATGTCCTTCCCTGGAGCTTACCCTTAAGGGCTTACCCTGCCTTTCTCCATGCACAGCTGGATGGCTTCTTAGGGACCTTCAAAACCCAGCCCTTGAGGCCTACAGAAGGAATGTGACCGGGCTAGGGTCCCTGGAAGCTACAGGGTCTAGATGCCAGATCTCCAGACATCTGGCTGAGGCCATCCCAATATGCCTATTTGTCATCTCTAGACATAAGACCCATAAGATACAAGACGTAAGTCTCCAAGGGGCTGCAGAGAGATGAGGATGGTCATCTCCAACAGCCCCAGTGTGTGGAGCGAGGTCCAGGAATCCACAATTCCTGAGGGTGGGGGGGAGCCCATGGTAATGTTCTGCAGAGGACATGCGTCCCTGTTGGGGCCTCTTGGCCATGCTTTTAGTCAGGAGACGGTCACTGGGGACAGAATGGTGGAATGGGGAAAATGCCTCAAACCTCCTGGGCCCCGGGCCTTTCAGCCCACCCTGGACTATGTCCCTCTAGGAGCTGAAGACCTCCTGGGCATAACGGCAAGAGAGGCGGCCAGGCAGAAACTGATGGTCCCTGGCTCCACCGCGCACAGGGCTCTGTCCTCAAAGCCTCAGCACTTTCAGGTGAGGACCCTCCAGGTTGCAAGTTTGTGACCCACTTGACACCCTTGCTTGCTGTGTTCCCAGGCCGTCCTCACCCCTCCCCAAGGTCATGGTAGAAGGGCAGAGCTTCAGACCCAGCTTCAGGCCCTCAGATCCTTGCCACATCCCCTGCTCCTCCCGTGGCCATTCTGGAAACTTCTGCCTGTAGCTGAAGCCACAGGGCTCCAGTGAGGCAGTAGGAGGGCTGGCTGTGCATTGGGCAGGCCCTGGTACCTGCTGGGGAAGCAGCGCAGATGACAGGGATCCTGCCCTCTCAGAGTCCTTGGTTGTTGGCAAAACGCAGTAGGGCACAGGGAAAGTTAAATTAACTGTGCAGGAGAGGCTGGGGACTGAGGGGACCTGTGGGAAGGCCCACATTTCCGTGTGGATTCAGGAACCCTCATCCCATGGCTTATCAACTTCCCTCTACCTTCTAGCCTGTGGACTAACATTCCTGCCATGGTTTTACCTGCTCCCCGGCCTGCTCCTTGCCCAGGAGGCAGGGAGGCTCCTGGACCGCTCCTCTTCCTGCACCCAGCCAAGTCCTAGCTTTTTTTTTTTTTTTTTTTTTTTTGAGACGGAGTCTTGCTCTGCCTCCCAGGCTGGAGTGCAGTAGCCGGATCTCGGCTCACTGCAAGCTCCGCCTCCCGGGTTCACGCCATTCTCCTGCCTCAGCCTCCCGAGTAGCTGGGACTACAGGCGCCCGCCACCTCTCCTGGCTAGTTTTTTGTATATTTTAGTAGAGACGGGGTTTCACCATGTTAGCCAGGATGGTCTCGATCTCCTGACCTCGTGATCCGCCCGTCTCGGCCTCCCAAAGTGCTGGGATTACAGGCTTGAGCCACCGCGCCCGGCCTAGTCCTAGCTCTTAACATCACCCAGCTGCTCCCATTTCCCCCCCACCATTTCCATTCCCTGGCCTGAGCCACCACCATCTCTTCCCTGGACCACATCACAAGCCTTCTCCTGAACCCCCAGCCTCCAGCTCTCTCCTGTCCGTTCTTCAACCAAAATGGCCTTTCAAAGATGTCACTCTTATCACGCCAAGCACCTTCTTCAAAAGCCCCAGTGTCCTCCTCACAAGATCCAATTCCTTTTACAACGGCTTCCTGGGCCTTGATAACCCAAGCCTGTCTCTCCAAGCCTTTCCAAGTCCATTGCCTCCTAGCCTTCTCCCAGTGGATTGTCTCTCTCCACTGTGGTACGGAGAGAATATTTATTCTTTCTTTTTTCTTTTCTTTTTTTCTTCTCTTTTATTTTCTTTTTTCTTTCTTTCTTCCTTCCTTCCTTTTTCTTTCTTCCTTCTTTCTTTCCTTTCTCTCTTCTTTCTCTTTTTCTTTTCTTTCCTTTCTTCCTTTATTTTCCTTCCTTCCTTTTCTCCTTCCTTCCTTCCTTCTTTCCTTCCTTCCTTTCCCTCTCTCTCTTCTTTCTCTTCCTTCCTTCCTTTCTTTTCTTTCCTTTTCTTTCTTTCTTTCTTCTTTTTATTTGAGACGGAGTCTTGCTCAGTTGCCCAAGCTGGAGTGCAGTGGCACAATCACAGCTCACTGCAGTCTAGACCTCTGGGCTCAGGTATCCTCCCACCTCAGCCTCCCAAGTAGCTGGGATTACAGACAGGCATGCACCACCACGCCCAGCTAATTTTTTGTAGAGACGGGGTTTTGCCATGTTGCCCAGTCAATCTGGTCTCAAACTCCTGGGCTCAAGCGATTCTCCCACCTTGGCCTCCCAAAGTGCTGGAATTACAGGCATGAGCCACTCACTGCACCTGGCCTAGAATGTTTTCTTATCAGAACATTGTGTCCCAGCTGGGGAAGGCGGGGCCAAGGTCCTCAACGTCAGCTCCCCATGTGTTCTCCCCTTAGGTTCGAGTGAAGGTGTTTGAAGCCCGACAGCTCATGGGCAACAACATCAAACCAGTGGTGAAGGTGTCCATCGCAGGCCAGCAGCACCAGACACGCATCAAGATGGGGAACAACCCTTTCTTTAACGAGGTGGGCTGAACGGGGCACCTCAGGCAAGGAGCCAGCCAAGGGCTGGGCATCCCGGGCGGGTAGCCTGCAAGCTTGCTCCTTGACTAGGGTGTCATCATGTGTTTGTTCCACAAGCATTTACTGAGTGTCTCCTGAGGGCCAAGCACTGAAAATACAGAACAGGATAACTCAGAGCCCTGCATCTGAGCAGCTGGTGGGCTGGTGGGGGCACAGCTCATGAATCCATAAACAATTACAGTGGAGCAGATCGTGGTTTGCAGAGGTCTGGGAGCATTGTTATTGGAGGTCTGAAGCAGAGACCCAGACCATGTATGTCCCATTGCTGCTGGAGCCCCAAATGGTAGCACTGTGCCTGATGTACTCCATAAATGCCTGTTGAATTAATTAGTAAATAAACAAATAAAAGATAAAAACACAGTGGAAGCTGGGAGGAGTAAGTGAGTAATGAGGCTGGGGGTGACGGAGAGGACTCAGAAGGGCTCCAGCAACCCTGCAGGAAGATTTTACCAGGGAAAGACGGATGGGATGGGAAAAGATAATTCAGGAAAAAGGGATGGTGTTTTCAAAGGCCTAGAACCAAGCAAGCCGCAGACTTGACAGCAGAACTATAGCTATGGGTGTGGCTGGAGGAGACTGGCTGGAGGGGAGCCTACAGTGTGGGCTGGGGTCCCATCCTGGACACTACTCAGGAGCCATGGAGGACTTCGGCAACGGAGTGACAGGCCTAGGTTTGCATTTGGGAAAGGAGTTTCTAGCTACCACGGGGAGCAGGGACAGAGTGGACTGGCAGGGCAATCTAGAAGGAGGTGTGGGCTCAAATCTCCATCCTAGGCAGCTAGCTGGGTCCTGAGTTCTCCAGGGATCTCCTACCATTCCCCATTCTGGGCAGAAAACCCTCCAGGAGACTGGGCATGGTGGCTCATGCCTGTAATTCCAGAACTTTGGGAGGCCGTGGTGAGTGGATCACCTGAGGTCCGGAGTTCAAGACCAGCCTGACCAATATGGTGAAACCCTGTCTCTTTTGTAAAAAGACAAAAAATAGCCACACGCAGTGGCGGGTGCCTGTAATCCCATCTACTCAGGAGGCTGAGGCAGGAGAATCGTTTGAACCCAGGAAGTGGAGCTTGCAGTGAGTTCAGATTGCACCACCACACTCCCACCTGGGCAACAGAGCAAGACTCCCCCTAAAAAAACAAACAAACAAAAAAACCTGGGAAATCCCTCTAGCAGCCCGGGAGACCTCTGCTTCTAGAGGAGCATGAGAGAAGTGGCACAAGTTGAGTATCCCTTACCCAAAATGCATGGTATCAGAAGTGTTTTGGATTTCAGACTTTTTTGGGAATCTGGAATATTTGCATTGTACCGGTTCAGCATTCGTAACATAAAAATCCAAAACCCAGAACGCTCCAGTCAGCATTTCCTTTCAGGGTCATGTTGGCACTCAGAAAGTTTCAGATTTTGGAGCATTTTTGATTTCAGATTTTTGGATTAAAATACTCAACCTGGCCGGGCGCGGTGGCTCAAGCCTGTAATCCCAGCACTTTGGGAGGCCGAGGCGGGTGGATCACGAGGTCAGGAGATCGAGACTATCCTGGCTAACACGGTGAAACCCCATCTCTACTAAAAATACAAAAAAATTAGCCGGGCGTGGTAGCGGGTGCCTGTAGTCCCAGCTACTTGGGAGGCTGAGTCGGGAGAATGGCGTGAACCCAGGGGGCGGAGCTTGCAGTGAGCCGAGATCGTGCCACTGCACTCCAGCCTGGGAGACACAGAGAGATTCCGTCTCAAAAAAAAAAAAAAAAAAGAATACTCAACCTGTTCTCGTAAACCCATTGAAATGGGTAAAGTTGTGGGAAGAAGCACATTATTCTGAGCTTTCGGGTTTACCGGGTGCTTGGGTGAAGTGGTGGAAGAAATCGTCCACTCTACCCCAATTCTCTCTGCCTCAGATTTTCTTCCAGAATTTTCACGAGGTTCCTGCAAAGTTCTTTGATGAGACCATCTTAATTCAGGTGAGGAGCCAAACTGGTCCCCAGCAAGGTGTGTTTCTTGTCCCACTTCAATACTGGGAAGCGCTGCAGCTCCAGCCCCCGCCCTTAGAGCCAGGGCTTCAGATTGTCTTCCTCACCCGCCCCCCAACTTTCTTCACCCCCTGGCACCCAGATTATTCATTCATTTACTCATTCACTCAACAAACGTTGTGGACTGCCAACTGCCCGGCCCTGAACTGGGCGCCAAGGTGAACAGGGCAGCCCCTTCCCATGTACCAGGATTCTCAAGCCACCAAAGGCCCTTGTGAGTAGAATACTCCATTCCCTAACCAAAGGGAGCCCAGTAACAACGGTGAACATGTGGTCATCAGGTGTCTGCCATGTGCCCAGCACGGGGCCAAAGAGAACAAAGAGGACTCTTCCTTTGAAGAATTTACATGTTCTTGGGAACAAAGGCACAGAAGAAACAACCAGGAGAGCATGTGATGGATAATGCTGAGTGCAACACCTTGCTTTATGTTGACTTGGGGCCAGGAAATTGACCTCTCTGATCAATTTCCTCATCAGTAAAATGGAATTAAAAATGTGAACCTCACAGGGTTCCTCTGGGAGTGAAGGGAGAGCACCCATGTGCAAGTGTCAGCCCCATTAAGAAGCATTCAACACGTCAGGAGGATCCCGGATGTGCCTTTGCTATTCCTCTTACAGGGGCTGAGGGAAATTGGGATCGTGAATAATTAAAATATTTCTGGGAACTCCCTTGCAGGTGGTGAACTCCTCAGTAATGAGATACAAAGCAGAGATCGGGAGATTTCAAGTGAGTACTGTACATGGGAGGAGGTTCGGTGAAACAGTTACAGCAGAGACCCACGCTGGGCTCCATGCCCAAGTCTAGGGAAAAGGACTGGGATTTTCATCGGCTGGGTGCAGTGGCTCACGCCTGTAATCCCAGCACTTTGGGAGGCCGAGGCAGGCAGATCACGAGGTCAGGAGATCAAGACCATCCTGGCTAACTCGGTGAAACCCCGTCTCTACTAAAAATACAAAAAATTAGCCAGGCATGGTGGCGGGCGCCTGTAGTCCTAGCTACTTGGGAGGCTGAGTCAGGAGAATGGCGTGAACCTGGGAGGCGGAGCTTGCAGTGAGCCGAGATCACAGCCACTGCACTCCAGCCTGGGCAACAGAGTGAGACTCCGTCTCAAAAAAAAAAAAAGAAAAGAAAAAAGAAAGATCCACACTTGTATCCACCTACCAACTGGGTGACTTAACAGAAGTTATTCTGAGCCTCTACTTCCTCATCTGTAAAAGGGGGATAATAATATACTCAATCTGGAGGGTGATTGTGAGGATTAAAGTATATGTAACATTTATAAAGCTCGGGGTGTCATGTTGATTTCCACACAGCCATGATACTGTGGACACAGTTCAAATCTCTGCCTCCAGGAAGTAGAAGCAGAGGATCCAAAAGGTCAGCTTATATGTTAGGGAAACTCAGAGAAAGATTGCTGCCTTTGAGGACAGAGTGAAAAGATGTGATTTGGAAAGACAAGCTGAGAGATTAGGAGAGTTTGCAGTCATGATGGACTAAACTAACATTCTCCAAATCCAAAAAGATCAGGAAAAGCGCCGGGCGCGGTGGCTCAAGCCTGTAATCCCAGCACTTTGGGAGGCCGAGACAGGCGGATCATGAGGTCAGGAGATCGAGACCATCCTGGCTAACCCGGTGAAACCCCGTCTCTACTAAAAAATACAAAAAAAAAACTAGCCGGGCGTGGTGGCGTGCACCTGTAGTCCCAGCTACTCGGGAGGCTGAGGCAGAAGAATGGCGTAAACCTGGGAGGCGGAGCTTGCAGTGAGCTGAGATCCGGCCACTGCACTCCAGCCTGGGCGACAGAGCGAGACTCTGTCTCAAAAAAAAAAAAAAAAAATCAGGAAAAGGTAGGTTGCTACGTTAAATACAGGATGCCCGGTTACATTTAATCTCAGATAAACAAAAAAATACATTTTAAATATAAGTATATCCCAAATATTACATGGCTTCTCACCAAATATTGCAGGGACATATGTGTATTAACCAAGTCGTCATTGTTTATGTGAAATTTTAATTTAAGTGGGTCTCTTCTATTTTTATTTACTAAATCTACAATGTTAGTAAAGGGGGACCACCCTTGGAAAAAACATAGAGAGGGATTCTAGAAATGTTAGATGGTAGGAGGTGAAAAATGTTGTGCTCTTGACAAAGGCCACCGCATGATTTCTAGACAGTGACCAGTGACATAAACTGACTAAGTTATAGAGGTCAGAGAAAACCTGAGTTTAACCGAGCTTCTTTTTTTTTTTCCTTTGAGATGTGATCTTGCTTTGTCACCCAGGCTGGAGTGCAGTGATGCGATCACGGCTCACTGCAGCCTCGAACTCCCAGGCTCAAGCAGTCCTCCCACCTCAGCCTCCCAAGTAGCTAGGGCTACAGGTGTGCACCACCATACCTGGCTAATTTTTAAATTTTTTTTGTAGCGAGTGGGTCTCACTATGTTACCCAGCCTAGTCTAGAACTCCTAGACTCAAGCCGTCCTCCCACCTCAGCCTCCCAACGTGCTGGGATTACGGGCATGTGCCCACCGCACCCAGCCGAGCTTATTTTTTATTTCTTTTTATTTTGGTATCATGAACTCCCATATCCTCATCACTCATCTTCATCAATTCACAGTCAATTGTGTTTTACCTACACCTAGCCCCCTTCCCCTTCACCACTGAATTATTTTGAATCAAATCTCAAGCATCATATCATTTTATCTTTCTACATTTCAGTATGTATTGCAAAAACATAAGGATTTTATTAAGCATAACCACATACAATTATCACATCTAAAAACCTTCATAATTCCTAGGTAGCATTAAATACCTAGTCAGTGTTCAAATTCCCCTAATTGTTTTACATATTCCTTTTACACTTTGTTCAAATCAAGATTCCAGGCTGGGCACAGTGGCTTACACCTGTAATCCCAGAACTTTGGGAGGCCAATGCAGGCGGATCACCTGAGGTCAGGAGTTCAAGACCAGCATGGCCAACATGGCCATCTCTACTAAAAATACAGAAATTAGCTGGGCATGGTGGCACATGCTTGTAATCCCAGCTACTCCTGAGGCCGAGGCAGGTGAATCATTTGAAACCAGGAGGTACAGGTTGCAGTGAGCCAAGATTTTGCCACTGCACTCCACTCTGAGCGACAGAGAGAGACTCTGTCTCATAAAAACAAAAACAAAAAACAAATCAGGATTCCAAACCAGATCCATTCATTGCAAGTGGTTAATATGCATTTTAGTTTCCTTTTACTCTGTTGGTCCTCTCTGTTCCCCCCACTTCCTCTTCTTTTTTTAATTTGCAACTTATTTGTTAAAGAAACTGGGTAGTTGGGCCTGTAGCATTTTCTCTGGTCTGGGTTTTGCTGATTTCATCTTCAGGGGATCATTTTGCATTCCCCCCACCCCGCTTCCCTATCTAGAGTTTAGATCAGTCTCAACCAATTAGTTGGCAAAGGGACTTTAATAGAAGGCACAAAATATCTGCTGGTCTCTCATTTTATGTTGTTAACAACTAATGATGATCACCGTCTGGATCTGTTGCTTCACTAGAAGTGACTGAGTTTTTATTCTGTTTTTTTATTTTTTAATTTATATATATATATATAGAGAGAGAGAGAGAGAGAGAGAGGGAGGGCGAGAGAGAGACAGTATTGCTCTGTCACCCAGGCTTGAGTGCTGTGGTGCGATCTCGGCTCACTGCATCCTCTGCCTCCCGGGTTCAAGCGATTCTCCCGCCAAAGCCCCCCAGGATAGCTGGAACCACAGGCATGCGCCACCACGCCCGGCAAATTTTTGTATTTTTAGTAGAGATGGGGTTTCACCATGTTGACCAGGCTTGTCTCAAACTCCTGGCTTCAACTGATCCACCCGCCTCTGCCTCCCAAAGCGCTGGGATTACAGGCATGAGCCACCGTGCCTTGCCCTGTTTTTTTTATATTATGGATTTATTGAAGTGTCATTGACATACAATGAATTGTACATATTTAAAATGTGCAATTTGATATATTAAAAATATGTGCACACCCAGGAAGAAAACATCATCACAATTAAGATAATGAATATACCCATCACATCTGTCACCTCCAAAAGTTGCCTAATGCGCCTTGGGAATCACTCCGTCTCATTCCCCATCCAACCCCCTTGCATTCCGAGACAATCACTGATCTGCTTTCTGTTATTATGCGAACGTTTCTTTCCTAGAGTTCACATTAATAGATAAGTATTTCCTTTAGTTCTTATCAATAGAATCATACATTCTCCACCCTTTTGTGCCTGCTTTCTTTCCCTCAGCATTGCTATTCTGAGATTCATCCATGTTGTTGCATTTGTCAGTAGTGCATTCCTTTTTACTGCTGAGTAATAGTCCAGCGTATGGATGTACCGCAGTTTAATTATCCATTCCCTTGTGAATGGACATTTAGATTGTTTCCAGTCTGAGGCTGCTATAATGAGGCTGTGTAAACATTTGTGTACAAATCTGAGTGTAGACATAAGCTTTAATTTCTCTTGGGAAAATATGTAGAAGCAGAATGACTAAATCATACGGTAGGTATATGTGGTACATGTTTAACTTTTTTTTTTTTTGGAGTTGGAGTCTTGCCCTATCACCCAGGCTGGAGTAATGGCTTGATCTCAGCTCACTGCAACCTCCCTCTCCTGGGTTCAAATGATTTTCCTGCCTCAGCCTTCCAAGTAGCTGGGATTACAGGCACCTGCCACTACGTGTGGCTAATTTTTGTATTTTTAGTAGAGACTGTTGACCAGGCTGGTCTCGAACTCCTGACCTTGTGATCCACCTGCCTTGGCCTCCCAAAGTGCTGGGATTACAGGTGTGAGCCACCGCACCCAGTCAACTTTTTTTTTTTTTTTTTTTGAGACAGAGTTTCACTCTGTCACCAAGGTTGGAGTGCAGCGGTGCAATCTCAGCTCACTGCAGCCTCCACCTCCCAGGTTCAAGCGATTCTCCTGCCTCAACCTCCCGAGTAGCTGGGATTACAGGTGCATGCCGCCATGCCTGGCTAATTTTTGTATTAGTCTGCCTTGGCCTCCCAAAGTGCTGGGATTACAGGTATGAGCCACTGCACCCAGAGGTGTGTGTTTAACTTTTGAAGGAAATTTTCTAAAAGTTTTTTTCCAAAATTCCAAATAGGTTGTGCCACTGTACATGCCCACCAGCAGTGTATTAGAGTTCCAGTTGCCCCACATTCTCCACAATACTTGATCTAGTCCATCTTTTCTATTTTAGCCATTCTAACGGTGTGTAGTAGTATTTCGTTGTGATTTTAATTTAAACCTTCCTGATGACTAATGATGTTGAACATCTTTTCATGTGCTCGTCATCTGTATATCTTCTTTGGTGAAGTGTCTGTTCAAACCTTTAGCTTGTTTTCCTTGGATTGTTTGTTTTCTAACTATTGATATATGATTTGCTAATATTTTCTTCCAGAGTATGACAGCCCATTCATTTTCTTTCTTTTTTTTTTTTTCCGAGACAGAGTCTTGCTCTGTCACCCAGGCTGGAGTGCAGTGGCACAATCTCGGCTCACTGCAAGCTCTGCCTCCCAGGTTCACGCTATTCTCCTGCCTCAGCCTCCCCAGTAGCTGGGACTACAGGCGCCCGCCACCTCGCCCGGCTAATTTTTTTGTAGTTTTAGTAGAGATGGGGTTTCACCATACTAGCTGGGATGGTCTCGATCTCCTGACTTCGTGATCCACCCGCCTCGGCCTCCCAAAGTGCTGGGATTCCAGGAGTGAGCCACCGCACCCGGCCAACAGCCTGTTCATTTTCTTTTTTTTTTTTTTTGAGACGGAGTCTTGCTCTGCCGCCCAGGCTGGAGAGCAGTGGCCAGATCTCAGCTCACTGCAAGCTCCGCCTCCCGGGTTCACGCCATTCTCCTGCCTCAGCCTCCCGAGTAGCTGGGACTACAGGCGCCCGCCACCTCGCCCGGCTAGTGTTTTTTTTTTGTGTGTGTGTGTATTTTTTAGTAGAGATGGGGTTTCACCGTGTTAGCCAGGATGACTCGATCTCCTGACCTCGTGATCCGCCCATCTCGGCCTCCCAAAGTGCTGGGATTACAGGCTTGAGCCACCGTGCCCGGCCAGCCTATTCATTTTCTTAACGGTGTCTTTCAAAAGCAAAAATTTTCCTTTTGATGAAGTCCAATTTATCAAGCTTTTCTTTGATGGACTGTGCTGTGTTGCTGTATCTAAGAACACAGTATGGGTGGCCCTAATGTTCCGTAGCAGCTTGCCCCACATATGTCACCTTCCATCCCGAACCACATTCCTCAAACCTCTGTGTCAGAAACTGTCTCCAAGGGGAAAGAGAAAACCCGTAGTTTCTTTATCAACTCCTACCTCTTACCTTAACCATCCTCTTCCCCAGGAGCAGTGAGCCCTTCCCGGACCCAGGAGTAGGGTAGAGTCGGGCTGCGTTGGCCGAGGGGGTGGCACAGCGCAGTGTTGAGGACATTTTCCATGCAGGCTTTCTCACTGGCTGGTTGTAAGACTTTGGGCACCTCTCTCAAACTCAGTATCTTCCTCTGCAGAGTAGAGGTGATAATGGGCCTACCTCCCAGGCTGCTGTAAAGATGAAAGGAGTTAGGGCAGAGAACATACTGAAGCCCCAACAGCTAGTAGTTGGGTCAGGTTAGTTGATATTACAAATCTTGGCTGCAGGCCCTAACTAATTCTCACCCCACTCTTGTCTTTCCAGACAGATATTGGGTTTATCTACCATTCTCCGGGTAGGTAACACTTATGGCAAATATGTATGTCTTCTGAGAAAAATCAGGCCAGGGGTCAGAATACCTTAAAATCCCCATACGTCCAACACATGGGTGGAGGGAAGTATTAGAGGTTGTAAATGATTTTCTGTATTTGATAATATTTTACTGTACATTGTGGTATTTTATTTTACCTTATGTTTTAATTTAATTATATTTTTTGAGATGGAGTCTCGCTCTGTCACCCAGGCTGGAGTGCAGTGGCTCGATCTCGGCTCACTGCAACCTCTGCCTACTGGGTTCAAGCGATTCTCCTGCTTCAACCTCCCAAGTAGCTGGGACTACAGGCATGCGCCACCATACCCAGCTAATTTTTTATTTTTAGTAGAGATGGGGTTTCACCACGTTGGCCAGGCTGATCTCGAACTCCTGACCTCAGGTGATCCACCCACTTCAGCCTCCCAAAGTGCTGGGATTACAGGCGTGAGCCACCGCGCCTGGCCTGTTTTACTTTATAATAGTAGCATCTTTCTCCGAAAAACTCAGGGCATCCCTTTCAGTCAAGTGCTGGCCTTTTATTACCATCCTGGGTTAGATTTCTATTTTTTGAGGCCAGTATTGGGAGATTAAAGTTCGAGTGGAAGTTCCCACCCTACCTGGCTATAACATACACACCAGGTTGAGGAAAATGGTTGCCTCTACAGTGCCTGGTTCCAGACCAGGCCACAGTAAGAACAGTAGGTTCCCAAGGCATAAACAGGGGTCCCTGTTTCCTAGAGGCAACAGCTGGCAGCCTTGTGAGCACGCTATCATTGCTTCATGGTACACGTGACTCCCCTTTTCCTCTGCCACTGGGTAGAACACAGGATGCCTGAGACATATTTCCACCTTCCCTTCCTCCTAAAACAAAGGCTGGTTTCAGGGGAGAGGGAAGGAGGCTGGAGGCAGATCTCCCATGGCCCCTCTGCCTCTCCAGGTCACACACTCCTAAGGAAATGGCTAGGCCTCTGCCAACCAAATAACCCCGGCAGTGGTGTGACAGGCTACCTGAAAGTCACCATCTGTGCCCTCGGTGTGGGAGACCAGGCCCTGGTGAGCTGCCCCTAATGCCCCAGGAACCTATCCTATCCTGGCTGCCTCCTGGGGGCACCCCTGAGCCTCACCCTGGGCGTTGACCATCAGATCTCTCCTTTGTCCGCTGAGCCACTGTGGGGTTGTCCCATCCCCCTGCACCAAGTGGGAGGTTGGGGAAGCAAAGTCTGGGGTCCTTACCTGTGACCTCCACATGACCTTGACTATATCAGCTCTCTGGTCCCTCCAGATAGATCAAAAGCAGCTGTATGGGGCCGATGACACCGATATTCAGATCTTCAAGTCAGCGGTAGTCCCGATCAACATGGCTTACTTACAGTTCTTCATCTACTGCGCAGAGGACCTTCACCTCAGTGAGAGTCCGGGTGCAGGGGAGGGAGCAGCCCTGAGGTTCCCTACACGGTGGTACCCTGGATCCTCATGGAATTGCCTCATTCCTTTTGATACTAAACTACGGTTTGGGGTAGGGGGACAGGGTGAGACTGGAATGTCCCGAGACTTGTCCTGTGGAAGTGCCATGGACACCCTTTCAAATGGGCCTCACACCCCCGGCCTATGACGGCCAGATGCAGACTCAAGGCTCCCTATGTCCCCCCACCCCATGCCATTGTGTGGAAGAAGAAGGGGCGCGGTGGTAACTGGAGACAGGTCTGCCCGGGGGGCACCCCTCTAAATTATAGGGGAGGGTTTTCAGTTGTTCTGTCTCCACTCTATTCCCTCCCCCTGAAAAAATATGCTGCTGGCTCAGATGTCTTTTAACTTGTTGTTCATAGAGAAACAGCAGTCAGTGAATCCTCAGTTGGAGGTGGAACTAATTGGGGAAAAGGTAAGTGTAGAAATGTTCTGAGACCTAGAGAGACTGGCACCTAGAGAAAGTAGTGTGGAGAGGAGGGTGGCCCGGTAGGCAAGACCACAGGAGTCATCTCCCAGTCACCCACTGAGAGAAGCATGCACCCCTGCACCTGGACCTCTGTGCAGGTGGAGGCCATGTCTTATTCTCTGCATGCCACATGCCCCCCCAAAACCAAATACATGTAGAAGAATGAGTGCATGAGTGAAACATGCCAATGAGTGAACAACATTGAAACTGTCACCATTCCTCAGTTTCTTCATGTGTAAACGAAGGTTCTGGGCGAGAGAGTTGCTGACATTCCGTGAACCTCTATGAATACAGAATAGCATTTTCCAAAGTGTGCTGTTGGGTGTCATGGGTGAAAAAGGGTCCTATGTTCAGATTCGGAGAATGCTAGGTTAAAGGTAAATAGATTTGTTTCCGTATTTGCCAAGCAGAATTTCTACCACATTCTATTTTTTGCAAGCAAGTCATTAAATCCAGCCCACACATAAGCAGAGAGAAAATAATGTCTATCTTTTGAAGGGAGGAGTACCAAAGAAATTGTGGACATATTTAAAACCACCATACTGAGTATGTCCCAGTGAGTGGTTGGGTACCTCCAAGGCTAGGTGAAACGTTCTCAGGTGGTAAGTGACACACAGTTTTCAAAAATTTTGATACTTCTGTGTTCATCTTGTGTACCTTAAAAGGTTTAATAAGGCCAAGTAACACTTGGTTTCACAGATACCACTGCTTAAAAATGAAGTCAACTGATGGTTTTGAAAGAGGCGTGCTGCTGCCATTAGCTGTGTTTTTACCCATTTTTCTTTTGGAATCTTAGAATTTATCTAGCAAAATCTATGTGTATACACTCATATAGTAAGGTTAGTAGCCCTACAGCTGTTTAAAAATGAGGTCTATTGAAAGCTGACTTAAGGAAAAATATGAGGAATCTGAATCTGGCAAACACTTCGGATAAGTACACAAAGGACTGGTGCTGTTGCTGCTGAGAAGTTGTGCAGGTGTCTTGAGAGCAGGGATGAGCCCGAGCACGTCTGTGTGCAGACAGTGGCCACCGGGGGCTGGACAGGAAGAGCTGAAAGGTGAGGCCAGTGGAGGGAGGAGGGGCAGGCTGGCACCAACACTGCTTTGGCACATTCCAGCTTAGGACGCACATGCAGACGCAAACCGACAACCCGATATGGAACCAGATCCTGACCTTCCGGATTCAGGTATGGCTCCTCCATCATGCCCACTCTTCTCCTACATCCCCTAACATAGAAGGGAAGTTTGGATGGTTGTGTGCGGGTGAAGACAAGAGGGTGGGGGCCAAGAAGCATGGCAAGGGGGACTCTGCCTGATAGGGAGCATGAGGAAGCCCAGGACATATTATGGAAAACTTTACCTTTTATAGCTTTACTGAGTTATCATTGACATACCTATGTCAATGGTATGTATGACTTGTAGATATTTAAAAGGTACAATTTGGCCGGGCACGGTGGCTTACACCTGTAATCCTAGCACTTTGGGAGGCTGAGGTGGGCAGCTCACTTGAGCTCCAGAGTTTGAGACCAGCCTGGCCAACAGTGGTGAAACCCAACTCTACTAAAAAGATAAAAATTAGTCGGGCGTGGTGACATGCGCCTGTAGTTCCAGCTACTCGGGAGGGTGACGCAGGAGAATTGCTAGAACCTGGGAGGTGGAAGTTGCAGTGACCTGAGCTGAGGTGGTATCACCTACTTATCTGAGCAAACACCAGCTCAGTAGGTGATAACAGCCTGTTGCCCAAGCCAAGCCACTGCATTCCAGCCTGCGCAACGGGGAGAGTCAGTCTCAGAAAAATATAAAAGAAGAAAGAAAGAAGGAAGGAAGTAGAAAGAAAGAAAGAATGAGTAGCTGGGACTATAGGTGCCTACCACCAAGCCCGGCTAATTTTCATACTTCTAGAAGAAAGAAAGAGAGAGAGAGAGAGAAAAAAAGAGAAGGAAGGAAGGAAGGAAAAAGGGAAGGAAAGGGAAGGGAAGGAAGGAAAAGAGAAAGAGAAAGAAAGAAAGGGAAGGAAGGAAGGAAGGAAGGAAGGAAGGAAGGAAGGAAGGAAGGAAATGTACAATTTGATACATTTTAAAATATGTACACATCCAGGAAACCCACCATTACAATCAACATGATGAATATATCTATAACCTCCAAAAGTTGCCTCATGCCCCTTGGGAATCCCTCCCTGTGATTCCCGTTCCACCCCCTCCCATCCCCAGGCAACCACCAATCTGCTTTCTGTTACTACGGATTAGCTTGCATTTCCTAGCGTTTCATAGAAATGGAATCGTTCAGTAAGTACGCTTATTTGTTTGACTTCTTTCACTCAGCATAATTATTCTGAAATTAATTCATGCTGTTGCTGTGTATCCGTGGTTCATTCTTTTTGTTGCTGAGTAATATTCTATTGTATGGATGTACCACAGTTTCCTTATCCCTTTCCTTGTTTATGATCGTTTCCAGTTTGCAGCTGTTACAGTGAATCTGTAAACACTTGTGTGCAACCCTTAGCATAGACATATGCTTTCATTTCTCTTAGGTAAATATGTAAATTCATAATCACTAGATTCAGAATGACTAGATTCTGGTAGCTATATTAAGCAATGAGTGGGTCATACAACTGAACTTTCCAGAGAACTTAAATGTGCCTTTCACCCACATATAAAAACAAAACAAATCCCTTTAAAGACCCATTTTAAATGATAATATACATTTTCTTATCTTCTCAGCAACTTGCCCTGAATATAATTAGAGCTTTTCATTGATGGCCTGGAGCCATTACAGGAACATAGTTATTATCCTGGGCTATCTGCAGTACTGAGCTACTTGTTCCTACACTAAATGGCTCCCAGACGCTTTCTTTGTGGGATTCTGTAGTCTGATTTTGATCACCTTTCAATCTGTCTCGTCACCTATCAGCTGTTGTGGATGACAGTTCTCTTGAAGGTGGAGCCTTACTGGCCTTTTGACTCTAAGTCAGGCTTCTAAGAGCTGTGTGTAAAATCAGAACACAGTTCTGAGAGAGAACTTGAGCTCTCTCATAAGTGCAGGCACATAGAAATTTGTGTGACACGGATTTGGCAACCCAGAGAGTGTTTTGCTTCCTCATATGTTGTGAAATACAAAATTAGCTAATGAGCTCTCCTTCTGCCTCCTGTGAACTCCCCTCCTTGATGCTTCTAGTAGTTACCCAGTTCTGCCTTCTTGTGAGTCATCATTTTCAACCATTCCTCCTAATCCCTGCCTCCTTGGATGATTTTATAGACTCTGAAAGTAGGAAGACATTTCAGAGGAGGCCTGGTCCGTCCGCCATCCTTGCCAAGCTCCCTCCCACCTTTTGCGGCCTGTGGTGAGGGCACAGGGCTGGGATCCTCAGATGCTCTGTGGCTGTTCAGAGCCTTGGGAAATCCTCTTTTTTCATCTTCTGTGTTCATCTTTTTTTTTTTTTTTTCTGAGACAGAGTTTCACTGTTGTCACCCAGGCGGGAGTGCAATGGCTCGATCTCGGCTCATGCAATCTCCGCCTCCTGGGTTCAAGCTATGAGTAGCTGGGACTACAGGTGCCTACCACCAAGCCCAGCTAATTTTCATACTTTTAGTAGAGACGGGGTTTCACCATGTTGGCCAGGCTGGTCTCGAACACCTGACCTCAGATGATCCGCCCGCCTTGGCCTCCCACAGTGCTGGGATTACAGGTGTGAGCCACCGTGCCCAGCCATTGTCATCTTCTTACAGGCTCAGAACCAATGGCACAGGCCAGGCCCTCCCTCATCCTTGAGAGAGGCCGAGGCCTTCCAACATTTGAAGACGTCCAAACACCCCCTGGAACCTCATCCATTTTCCCCAGAACACAGTCTCCAGGGTGGGGCCCTTTGGATACGGCCCTTTGGAAATGCAGCAGGCAGGTGTGAACCTCACTCTGAAGAGGCAGAACAGCCAACCACACAGATGGTAGCATCTGAGGCCAGGTGGTCAGAGAGGGAGCAGAGCCCGGGGCACTGCAGAAAACTGGCCTGTGCCAATGGTCAGTCCGAGGGCCCCAGGGCAGAAGGGGAGGCCGCACACTAGATGAGGAACTGAGAAGCAGGAGGAGAATTATTAGCAGGATGGATGGAAAGGTGGTTCGGCCATAAATGTGAACTTGGAGGATTCTTAACTTTGGAAGACCTGGATGCCTTCTGGTGCCCACCTCTCCCCTTCCAATGTCCTCCCTTAGCCTGGAAATTTCCTCCTTTCTTACTAACTAGCTGCTCAAAAGCCCTTTCCTCTTCTCCTTGGCCCCTTAGCTGTCAGGACCCGGGGAGAATTGGATGAAGAAAATGGAAAGCTGGGACGTTCCCAGCCGTACCCCAAGAACTGCTGTAAGGAGAAGAGGCCCCAGCGGAGAGGACTGAGGATTTGGGGTCACGCTCTGGCCTCAACCCCACAGCTCTATTTTACACATGGACACATGGATTTTTTTTCCTCTATTTTTTTTTCTTTTTTTTCTTTCTTTTTTTTGAGACAGAGTCTCGCTCTGTTGCCCAGGCAGGACTACAGCGACACAATCTCAGGTCACTGCAACCTCCGCGTCCTGGGTTCAAGCAATTCTTGTGCCTCAGCCTCCCGAGTAGCTGGGACTACATGCACGAGCCACCATGCCCAGCTAATTTTTTGTGTTTTTGATAGAGATGGGGTCTCACTATGTTGCCCAGGCTGGTCTTGAACTCCTGGCCTCAAGCAATCCTCCTACTTCAGCCCCCAAAGTGCTGGGATGACAGGCGTGAACCACCGCATATGGCCTCTTTCCTTTCTTTCTTTTTAAAAATAATTAAGGAAACCATATTGTAGAGTGAAGATAGGACACAGAAGCTTGGGTTGGAATCCTGACTCCACCCCTTACTATGTGACCTTGAGCAAGTCCCTCTGCCTCTCTAGGCCTCATTCCCCATCTCTTTATAGGGACAATCACGGCCCCCACAGGGTTACAGCAGAGTGGTTAGGGGCTCTGAGGCTTTGGCGACTGTATGTAGCATGAGAACTTCACGAGCTCAACCTCTCTGATCTCAGCTTTCCCATGTGAAAATGGGAATAATCATAGCACCTGGTTCAAGAGGTTTTTAGGGGAGCCCACTCAGCTGGTCTACAGAATTTGTTTAGCACAAGCCAGGGGCAACAGAAACCTCCTAAAGAGGCAGCTATTATTATTTATTCTTTTTTTTTTTTTCTTTTGACAAGGAGTTTCGCTCTTGCCGCCCAGGCTGGAGTGCAATGGCGTGATCTCGGCTCACTGCAACCTCCGCCTCCTGGGTCCAAGCGATTCTTCTGCCTCAGCCTCCCGACTAGCTGAGATTACAGGCATGCATCACCATGCCCAGCTAATTTTGTATTTTTAGTAGAGATGGGATTTCTCCATGTTGACCAGGCTGGTCTCGAACTCCTGATCTCAGGTGATCTGCCCACCCTGGCCTCCCAAAGTGTTGGGATTACAGGCTTGCGCCACCGTGCCTGGCTTATTTATTCTTTGAGGAGACAGATATACCACTGTTTAAAAAGTTGATGGCTAGACATGATGAAGACATTCCGGGCCCACGGCCTCTCCATGAGATGGTTTGGTGAATGTGCATTCATACTGAAAGGGGCTGTGTGAGGACAGTAATATCTACCAGCCCACAGTCAGGGCAGACTCAGGGGTCGGAGGGCCTGAAGCTTATGCAATTAGGGGACCTTTTTTTTTTTCTTTTTTGAAACAAGGTCTCGTTCGGTCACCCAGGTTGGAGTACGGTGGCACAATCATGGTTCACTGTAGCCCCAACCTCATGGGCTCAAGCAATCCTCCCACCTCAGCCTCCTGAGTAGCTGGGACTCTAGGTGAGTGCCACCACACCCAGCTAATTTTTGTATTTTTTGTAGGGAGAGGATTTCATCATGTTGCCCAGGCTGCTCAAGTGATCCGCCCACTTCAGCCCCCTAAAGTGCTGGAATTACAGGTGTGAGCCACCATGCCTGGCCAGAGGGCCATTTTAAAAACATAAATACAAAACAATCATATGACAAGTTCCAGGCCCCTCCCAGGACCCTGCAAGGGGCCCATTCAAATGGGAGGCCCAGCTGGGCGAGGTGGCTCACACCTATAATCCCAACATTTTGAGAGCCTGACACAGGAGGATTGCTTTTGCCCAGGAGTTCGAGACCAGCTTGGGCAACATAGTAAGGCACCTGTCTCTACAAGAAAAAAAAAAAAAGTTTTTAATTACCCAAGTTTGGCGGCAGGTGCCTGTAGTTCCAGCTACTCAGGAGGCTGAGGCGGGAGGATGCTTGAGCCTGAGAGGTGTAGGCTGCAGTGAGCTATGATCATGCCACTGCACTCCAGTCTGGGTGACAGAGGAGGACCCTGTCTCAAAACAAAACAAACCCCCAGAAAACAAATAAGAGGCCCTAAAGCCAAAGCTCCATCAGCCTGGTTGGAAATCCAGCTTTTCTATGATTAAGTGGCTCGCTGGTAACTGAGCCAGGAGTTGGTCCCAGACCCGCGAGTCCTTAACTGTTGTTAAAATCTCCACGAGGACCAGACCATCCGAATGTGTACCCACCACTCCTCTGTCCTTCCCCCGACAGCTACCCTGCCTCTCCAGCTACATCAAGTTCAGAGTCTTGGACTGGTGAGCAACCTGGTGGAGGGTGAAGCACACAGGGAAGGAGGAAATGAGAGCTGGGCCAGGGGCTCAGCGTGAGGAGTGTTTCTCTCCAGCCACAGGAAGGACTGCTCGGATGAGATTGGGACTGCCAGTCTGTCCCTCAACCAGATCTCGTCCACCGGAGAAGAGATCGAAGGCAAGCAAAGTCTCGAGCGCACGTCCCACACCCCTCGTCCTGCGCCCGACCCTTCTCACTCTCTCTCCTTCCAGGAGTGTACTCTGGCTTCCTGCCCTGCTTTGGCCCCAGCTTCCTGACTCTGCACGGGGGTAAAAAGGCCCCTTTCAGGATCCAGGAAGAAGGCGCTGTAAGCTTGTCACATCAGCTCTAGGGGACAGCGGAGGTAGAGCTGCCCCCAGTAAAGCACTAGGGCCTGGGACGTGCCCTGGTTTCTGTCCCTCGGGGTCTTGGAGAGGACGTGAAGCCTGTCCATGAGCAGCCACGTGCATGTGGGACAGGCGTGGGGGCACCAGAAAGAAGCAGGCGGAAGCTCTGGGCTTTCCCTGAGGAAGGGGCTTTGAGAGGAAACCATGGTAGGATTTTCAGCAGGCGGGAAGGGCGCGCAGGACAGAGGACACAGCACAGGCAAGTGTGAGGAAGCACGAGGTTATTCAGGAATGGCGGTAAATGCCAGAAACCCAACTCACACTGTCTTAAACCCAGGGAAAAACAAGACTCCTGTCTGCCCGGATCTACTGTGGATCCCAGTTTCTGACAGTGCAAAGAGGCCCTGGGAAGGAACAAGGCAGGGAAGGATGCTGAGGAAGAACCACAGGCACTGGCCCTCAAGGCCACTGGGAGGCCCTCCCTCTCCTTTCCCCACCCCACCCCGCCTCATTCCCTCCTCCCGCAGTCAGGCCTCCGGGCTGGAAACCTCACCACACCGCCTCCAGCGGGGAAGGCCGGGGAGGCGTTCTAATTGGCCTCCTTAGGGCCTGTGTGCTCCCCTCGGATCCCTGTGGCCAAGGAGGCGGGGCGGGCTCTGATTGGCCCGGCGGGGAGCACAGACTGAGTGATGGCAGTTCCCACCCAGCCTGAAGCATTGTGGGAACACAGTTCCCACCCAGCCTGAAGCATTGTGGGAACACAGTTCCCACCCAGCCTGAAGCATTGTGGGAACACAGTTCCCACCCAGCCTGAAGCATTGTGGGAACACGGGCCTCCATGGGGCAGGCAGGTTCCCAGGGTGCAGAAGAGGGCTCAGTGCCCAGAGGTTTCCTGGCATGGAGGTGTCTGGAATTCTCTGGGATTGTGGTTGGAGTAAGTCCCGGGCAGGCAGTGACTGGACAACCTTGTCTTTGCCTCAGGGGTTTCAAAGGAGATTGGCCTGTTCTTTTTCTCTCACCCTTTTTCTCCGTTTTTCTCTCGCTTGCCCTAGCGTATTCCCGACTCTGTTAGGGATGGTTTAGCTTATCGAGGCCGAGTCTTCCTGGAGTTAGTCACCCAAATCAAGTCCTGTCAAGACTCCACGATAAAAGATCTCTCCCATGAAGTGACCAGGATAGAGGTAACTGCGGGAAACAGGTAACCCAGGGAAAAACACGAGCTCTGTCTGCCCCAGATCTACTGTGGATCCCAGTTTCTGACCGTGCAAAGAGGCCCTGGCCACTGGCTGTTGAGTGTGTAAGGATGCTTGACCAATCAGCCTGATTATTTACAAAACCCCTGCTAGTGGCTTCCTGCTGCAGCAAATCCCGGTGGTTGGGGGACCCTGATGGAAAAAATAAGGTTTCAGTTTAAGAAATGCCTAATCTGGGCCAGGCGCTGTGGCTCACACCTGTAATCCCAGCACTTTGGGAGACCCAGGAGAGAGGATCACTTGAGCCCAGGAGTTTGAGACCAGCCTGGGCAACATGGTGAAACCCTGTCTTTACTAAAAATACAAAAAAAAAAAAAAAAAATTAGCTGAGCATGGTGGTGCATGCCTGTAGTCCCAGCTACATGGGAGGCTGAGGCAGGAGGATTGCTTGAACCCAGGAGGTGGAGGTTACAGTGAGCCAGGATCATGCCACTGCACTCCAGCCTGGGTGACAGAGCGAGACTCCATCTCCAAAAAAAAAAAAAAAGAATCTCTGATATGGTTAAGGAGAAATGGTGTTAATTCGTGACCTAGTTTCTCAGGGCTTTGTAAAACAATCTAAGGGATTTGAGTTTCTTCCTGAAGCCAGTGGAGGGCTACTTACTGAGGCAGGAAGGGGCAGGAGGAGCAGTAACAATAGACTGGAGGAGAGTAAGTTGGGGTCACCCAGTCAAGAGAAGCAGGAATACAGCCTCATTGGCAGAGAGCTGGAGAGGAGGTGGGTAGGTTTCAGAGACCCTTTGGAAACAGAATGTCCAGAGCCAGTGACCAACAGAACGTAATAAGTGAGGCTGACTCCCCTTGCTGAGGCCCATTTTCTGCCATGGGTGATGAGGTGGTCAGGGGTGCAATGCACCAAGGTGGGCTCTCTAAAGAAGGAGAAGATATGAGGGAAATGGTTAACCCCATCTCTGACATGTAGTGTGAGACATCAACATAGACCAGCTCTGGAGCCTGCTAGACACAGGGATGTGACATCAACACACCAAGGTTTGAACCTGTGGTCGTGGAAGAAACTGCCTGAGGAGAGTAGGTGGAATGAAAGGAGAAGGAAGTTTCGAGGATGCCGCAGTCTTTAGAGGCAGGTGAAAGAAGAGAAGGGGTTTGTAGAAGAGATTGGAGAGGAACCTGCAGAGGTGGACTCAGGAGTGGAGATTTGCAGAAAGGAGTGACAAGCAATCTCAAATGTGGCAGAGAGAAAGGGCGAGGACTGAGAGACATATGCTGGTTATTAGGAAGAGGTCAGTAGCCTTGGAGATTGGCTAGGAGAGAAGCTGGGCTGCCATAGGTGGGAGGGAGAGGTAGGAGCCAGTGCACAGAGACAAACCTTCTAAGAAACCTGATTAAAAGCCAAGTGTGGCCGGCCTGTGCCAGCCTGTAATCCAGCACTTTGGAGCCGAGACGGGGGTCACGAGGTCAGGAGAGTGGCTAAGGTGAGTCCACATCTAGGTGAGGTGCGGGCCGGAGCCAGGGAGCTGAGAGGACGTCCAGGCAGCTGAGGGCGATACCATAGCTGGAACAGAAAATCGTCTAAAAAAAAAAAAAAAAAAATCAAAAAAAAAAAAAAAAAAAAAAAAAGCCAAGTGTGGAGCTGAGATAGGAGGATCACTTGAGCCCCAGGAGTTTGAGACCAGCCTGGGCAACATAGTGAAACCACATCTCTAGAAAATAAAAGTTTGGCCGGGCACGGTGGCTCACGCCTGTAATCCCAGCACTTTGGGAGGCCGAGACGGGAGGATCACGAGGTCAGGAGATCGAGACCATCCTGGCTAACACGGTGAAACCCCGTCTCTACTAAAAAAATACAAAAAAAAAAAGTTAGCCAGGCATGGTGGTGGGCGCCTGTAGTCCCAGCTACTCGGGAGGCTGAGGCAGGAGAATGGCATAAACCCGGGAGGCGGAGCTTGTAGTGAGCTGAGATCCAGCCACTGCACTCCAGCCTGGGCGACAGAGTGAGACTCCGTCTCAAAAAAACTAAAATAAAATCAAAGCTTTTTTTTTTTTTTTTTTTGAGACAGAGTTTGGCTCTTGTTGCCCAGGCTGGAGTGCAGTGGCACAATCTCAGCTCACCGCAACCTCCGCCTCCTGGGTTCAAGCGATTCTCCTGTCTCAGCCTCCCGAGTAGCTGGGATTACAGGCATGCGCCACCACGCCCAGCTAATTTTGTATTTTTAGTAGAGACGGGGTTTCACCATGTTGGCCAGGATGGTCTCAATCTCCTGACCTCGTGATCCGCCCGCCTCAGCCTCCCAAAGTGCTGGGATTACAGGTGTGAGCCACTGCGCCCGGCCAGTAAATTTTTTTTTTAACGTGAAAGGAAATGAGAACAGGTGATAGCTAAATGGGGTTCAGATGGGAGAAGGAAAGTTATTTTTTTTAAATAGGGGAGACCTGAGCTAGTGAACAGACTGGGGGATGCAAGAATGGGGCAGAGGTTGGCAACAGAAGCAAGAGGGACTAATATGACGGACAGGAGGCCCAAGCAGGCACCTGGTGAGAACAGCCGAGGTTGGGGGGATAGTGGGCAGCTGGAGCAGACAGTGGGAAGGTTCAACCTTTCTGGTAGTATGCATGTATGTGTGTGTGTGGGCGGGGGGGGGTGGGTGTGGTTGTGTGTAAAATCTCAGCTCTACACCCCTATCCACATTGTGTCTTCTGAGGGAAAGGGTTTAGTCAAAAAAGAAGCAGCATCTCTACTTGGAATGGGGATGAGGTGGTCCAACCCAGAGCCTACCCTGACAAGGGAGGAGACCACCCCCTTCCCAGCCCCCTGATTTCAGGAAGGGAGGGAACCAGGGCTGGCTGGGTGGAGGGGCCAGGTGATGGAAGTCCTGGAGGAACTGCCCTGCATCAGCCGGGTGCGAGGGAGCCTCTGAAGGCCTTTAAGAGGGAGAGAAGGGAAGATGGCTTTGAAAGAGAGAGAGTACCTCATGCTTGCTTCCCTGCCCATCAGTCTAACCCCTGGCTTATGTACTGGGGATGGGGGGTGGGGCGGTTATTGTTTTAGAAGCACCAGAACCGCCAAAAGTATGGGCTGTGCGTCATCTTCCTCTCCTGCACCATGATGCCCAACTTTGAAGACCTGATCCATTTCGAGGTCAGCATCGGTCACTATGGGAACAAGATGGACCTGAATTACAAGCCTCTAGTCTCAAGCACACAGTACAGCCCAGTGATATATGATGGTAATTGTCAGATTCTGGCAAAGAGTAGAGAGCAGCCACTGCATGCCAGACCCTGTGCTGGGCTCTCTCAGGGGTATTAGCTCATGGAAGATTCATAGGCATTATTTACCTATATTTCACACATGAAAAAATGAGGTTCAGGGGGGTGAAGTCATTTGCCTAACCGTATAGCTAGCAGGTGGTGAACCCAAGAGTCGAAACTAGGTCTTGACATGAAGTCCTTCTCTACACTGCTTTCCCCTACTACTCTGAACCACCTCCCATCCATCCATCCTCCACCCACCAGTTCATGCATCCGTCTATTTTTTTATCCATCCATTCAACCACTCAACTCTCACCTACCCACTTACCCCAACATCTAACCAACTACCCCTGCAGCCATTCATTCACTCCTCCAGTACATACTTATTGCACACCTATATGGGCACTACAGAGCAGCGGTTCTCAGAGAGCAAACCCTAGGCCAGCAGCATCAACATCACCTGGGAGCTTGTTAGAAATGCAGGTTCTCGACCCCACGCTAGACCTAGAGAATCCAGTAACGTGGGGAAGGACCCCAGCCTGTGTTTTATCAAGCCCTCCAGGTGACTGGGGTGCATGCTCCAGTTTGAGAACCACTGCTGCAGAGCACTCCTGTCTCACTTTCATCTTTTTCAGCTTTACCGTCTCATCACCCATTCTGAGCCTTTCTGGGCATCCCACTTCCCTACCTCTCTTTTTAAAAAAGTTTTATTGAGATATAATACACAAGCCATACAATTCGCCCATTTAAGTTTGTACAATAGTTTTTTAGTATATTCGCAGAGTCGTACAACCATCACCACAATCAATTTTAGATCATTTCCTTATCCGGAAAAGGAACCCTATGGCCGTTGGCAGTCACCCCCCATTTATCTCCCACCTCCCTAGTCCTAGGCAACCACTAATCCACTTTCTTTTTTTAAATTTATTTATTTATTTTTTTTGAGACGGAGTCTCGCTCTGTCACCCAGGCTGGAGTGCAGTGGCGCGATCTCGGCTCACTGCAAGCTCCGCCTCCCGGGTTTACGCCATTCTCCTGCCTCAGCCTCCCGAGTAGCTGGGACTACAGGCGCCCGCCACCTCGCCCGGCTAGTTTTTTGTATTTTTTAGTAGAGATGGGGTTTCACCGTGTTAGCCAGGATGGTCTCGATCTCCTGACCTCGTGATCCGCCTGTCTCGGCCTCCCAAAGTGCTGGGATTACAGGCTTGAGCCACCGCGCCCGGCCTAATCTTTTGTATTTTTAGTAGAGGTGGGATTTCACTGTGTTAGCCAGGATGGTCTCGATCTCCTGACCTCAAGTATCCACCTGCCTCAGCCTCCCAAAGTGCTGGGATTACAGGCATGAGCCACTGCGCCCAGCCATCTACTTTCTGTGATTGTAGATGTTCCTATCCCAGACATGTCATATATGGAACATATAATATGTGGTTTTTTGTGAATGGCTTCTTTCACTTAGCGTGATCTACTTGGTTTTTGTTTTATGAAATATATATACAAAAAGCAAATGAATGTGTATGTGTAGTTTAAAGAAGAATAATAAAATGAGGGAGGGTGAGGTGGGAGGATCACCTGCGCCTGGGAGGCAGAGGTTGCAGTGAGCGGAGATCGCACCAATGCACTCCAGCCTGGGTGACAGCGTGAGACCCTGTTTAACCAAAAAATAAAAAATAATGATAATAAAATGAGTACCCATGAACTCTCCACTCTGCTTAAAATATAGAAAACTATCAGCATCTTAGAAAGGGTCCGTTTGCTCTTCCCAGATCCCTTCACCCAAGAAGTAACCATGACCCTGACTCTTGTATTAATCACCTTCTTGCTTTTCTTTTTAATTCTTCACCTATGAATGAAATCCTGAACATGATACAGTTTTTATATTTTACATAAATGGGCTGAGCACCAATAGGTGGTGCTCTTTCGGTCCGTATTCATCTGTCTTGCATCTTCTGCTCAACGTTAAACTTTGTATGTGGGTATGTGTACTGCAGTTCATTTTCACTTCTGCATAAATTCCACTGTGTATGTGGTATATTCCACAAAGTATGTGGTATATGTAGGCATTTAGGTTGTATCTTTTTTGCTATTATAATAATTTTGTTGTAAACATTCTTGTGCATGTCTCCTGGTGACAAGTGCAAGACTTCCTCTAAATTATATACCTAGGAGTGGAGCAAAAGTGATTATACCAAATTACACTCTCCTCAGCTTGGTATGAGAATTCCTATTACTCTATGTTCTCACCAGTACTTGATATATTGCCTAGCCTTTTTAAAAAAATTAATTAATTTTTTTTTTTTGAGATGGAGTCTTGTTCTGTCGCCCAGGTGGGAGTGCAATGTTGCAATCTCAGCTCACTGCAACCTCCACCTCCCAGGTTCAAGCGATTCTCCTGCCTCGGCCTCCCAAGTAGCTGGGACTATAGGCGCCCACCACCACGCCCGGCTAATTTTTGTATTTTTGGTAGAGGTGGGGTTTTGCCATGTTGGCCAGGCTGGCCTTGAACTCCTGACCTCAAGTGATCTGTCTGTCTTGGCCTCCCAAAGTGCTAGGATTACACTAGCGTGAGACACTGTGCCCGGCCTATTTTTAAAATTGTTTATGGAGACAGGGTCTCACCATGTGGCCCAGGCTAGCACCACCACACCCAGCTAATTTTTTGCAGAGATGGAATTTCACCACGTTGCCCAGGCTGGTCTCAAACTCCCGAGCTCAAGTAGTCCACCCGCCTGGGCCTCCCAAAGTGCTGGTATTACAGGTGTGAGCCACTGCGCCCAGCCCTATTGATTATCTTTAATTTTGTAGTTAGTACATTATGTGGTCTAAGAAATATCTATCTCAAGATCATGAAAATTGTCTCCTCTGTTTCATTCTACAAGCTTTATCGTTTTATCTTTTTGTGTTTGGGTTTATGATTCAATTTGACTTAATTTTTGCGTATGGTATGAGGGAGGAATTGAGATTATTTTTCTCTATACAGATATACACGTTCTTTTTCTGTACACAGATAACCAGTTCAGCACCATTTGCCTGAAAGACTATTCAGTCCCACATTGAATTACTTTGCCACCTTTGTTGAAAATCAGTTAACCATATTGATCTATCTGCCTATCCTTATCCACCACAACCTCCGTCTCCTGGGTTCAAGCGATTCTCCTGCCTTAGCCTCCCAAGTAGCTGGGATTACAGGCATGCGCCACCACGCCTGACTAATTTTGCATTTTTAGTAGAGATAGGGTTTCTCCATGTTGGTCAGGCTGGTCTCAAACTCCCGAACTAAGGTGATCCGCCCACCTCAGCCTCCCAAAGTGCTGAGATTACAGGCGTGAGCCACTGCACCCGGCCTAGTTGTTCCTTTACAAAATAATTTTGGCTATTGTACAAGTCTTTGGGTTGGACTTTGGTTGAAAATGAGTTCCTTCCCATTTTCCTATTTTAGCATAAGCTCGACAATTTCTCCAAAAAAGGCCACTGGAATTTCCTGTGTTCTTTTGTTTTCATCAGGTATTTTTTGTTTGGTTTTTAGTATTATATTCTATCTATTGACAATATGTATCGTTGGATTATTTTTAGTGGTTGCTTAGGGAATTACAATATTGACCCTTCACTCATCATAGTCTACTTTGAGTTAATAATATGCCACCTCCCAGAAATAATTGTTTTATTATATGTAATATACCATGCAATTAATTACAGTATAATTGCATTGACAGCTTACATTACCTTTGTTATACCTTTTTAAAAATATTTTTGGGACTGGCCGGGCGCGGTGGCTCAAGCCTGTAATCCCAGCACTTTGGGAGGCCGAGACGGGCGGATCACGAGGTCAGGAGATCAAGACCATCCTGGCTAACACGGTGAAACCCCGTCTCTACTAAAAAATACAAAAAAAATTGCCGGGCGAGGTGGCGGGTGCCTGTAGTCCCAGCTACTCGGGAGGCTGAGGCAGGAGAATGGCGTAAACCAGGGAGGCGGAGCTTGCAGTGAGCTGAGTTCCGGCCACTGCACTCCAGCCTGGGCAACAGAGCAAGACTCCGTCTCCAAAAAAATATATATATATATTTTTGGGACGGAGTCTCACTCTGTCACCGAGGTTGGAGTGCAGTGGTCTGCCTCCTGGATTCCCGGGTTCAAGTGATTCTCCTGCCTCAGCCTCCCGAGTAGCTGGGATTACAGGAGTGTGCCACCATGCCTGGCTAATTTTTGTATTTTTAGTAGAGATGGGGTTTTGCCGTGTTGGCCAGGCTGGTCTCGAACTCCTGACCTCAGGTAATCCACTCCCCTCAGCTTCCTAAACTGCTGGGATTACAGGCGTGAGCCACCATGCCCGTCCTATCTTTGTTATGCATTCTGGAATTAGTTTGCTAATATTTTGTTGAGGATTTTGCATCTATGTGCATGAGTAAAATCTGATTTTGTTAGTAATTTATTTAGTGATGTAATTTACAAACCACAGAATTATCTTGTTTTGTAGCCACTCTCCTGTTCCCACCCCCAGGTCAACACAACTACTAATGTACTTTTGTCTCTGCATATTTACTTTTCCTGGATATTTCATATAAATGAAATTATACCATATGTCATCTTTTGCATCTGGCTTCCTTCACTTGGCTTAATGTTTTCCAGGTTTATCCATGACGTAGCATGTATCAGTACTCCATTCCCTTTTCATTGCCAAATAGTATTCCATCATATGGGTGTACCATCCATCATTTGTTAATCCATTCATCAGTTGATGGACATTGCTCCCCCTTCTTAGCTATTAAGAATAAAGCTGGCCGAGCCTGGTGGCTCACTCCTGTAATCCCAGCACTTTGGGAGGCCGAGGCGGGTGGATCACCTGAGGTCGGGAGTTCGAGACCAGCCTGAGCAACTTGGTGAAACCCTGTCTCTACTAAAAATACAAAATTAGCCGGACGTGGTGTCGCATGCCTGTAATCCCAGCTACTCAGGAGGCTGAGGCAGGAGAATCACTTGAACC